GGCCTGGGAGGTCTCCTGAGCAGGAATGGGGTGGGACTGAGAAACCAGCCATAAGCCTGGAGTCAAAATCAGGTTTTACACTGTCCATCAGTGCATAGTTGACACAAGACAGGAAACATCCCACAGCCCTGAGCTGGGGCAAGCCCTGCCGTGGCCTGAGCTGCTCTCGCAGGAGACCTAGTGAGATCGCCGCTCTGTTCCTCACGTGTTGCACAGAGGGAGTAACCGCCCTCTTCACGCTGGAGGCACCCACTGTTCTGCAAACCGCTGCTGTTCTGTCACCCTCAGGTGAAGATCGAGAAGGAGAAGGTGTACATCCGAGCGAGCAAGCAGGTGAGGGGCCACTGGCATCCCCAAATCAATGCCTATGCTTTTGCTTTTTGCTCTGTGTGCACGGGGGTGGGGGAGAAACATTTTTCTGTCTGGCAGGGGAAGCAGTGCCTGAACAGAAGGATGGATGAGTATCCAATATGAGTAAACCAAAGGTCCACCTAGCCCTGTCCTGTCTCAAGCAACAGCCCAAAGTTTGTACAGAGGCACGAGTGGAGCAGGGCAGAGGTGTCGTGTCCCCCCTGTCCTGCCTGTGCTCCTCCAGCCTCCCTGAAGCTGCCAGACACCTGAGCTGGGGAGTCCATGGATTCAGGAGGTCTTACTTGATGTTTGTCTGAACATGTCCTGTTTCCTGAAGTTCAAAGCAACTTTTAATTGAGTTGGCCCAGGGGAACAGGACTCTTCCATCAGCCTTTTGGCCTCATCTGCTGGATCTGAATGCGGCATGGTGATGACAGAAGTCATCTGTGCTCCTTTGACCCCAGACATCAGCTCCTTTTGCTGGAGAGGGACCTGATGCATGGGCAGGGAGGGCTCTCATCCCCCAGATATGGTGCAGAATGCCACTGTTCAGGTCACTGCCATCTTTCTTTCCATTAAAAGCTGCCTTCTGATTCACATTTGCACATACGCACATGTGAATCCATCAGCTCAGAACCAGCCCGACCCTTACAGCACTTGGATTAGATCCAGAGAGGTCACCTGAATGGCAGGACTGATCTATTCCAGCTGATATGGGTGAGATGTGAGGAGGGTTGAGCCTGTTCCCTCTCCCAGAAACATATCTTGGCCTCTGATGTCTGCCAGTGTGGAGGCTGTGCAGTGTAGGGTGGCAGGGCTACACTGGGGTAAGTCCTTGGGTGTGCTCTGGTAGGTTGGACAAGTCTATCAGCTTCTTTGGATATTAGAGGTGTATAAGCTCTGCTCAAGTGCAGGATAAATAAAGTTCCTGATAGGACTTTATCTCCATCTCCATCTCACCTGTTAGTTGCAGAATTGCTCAGTGACACATCTGAGCAATTCCTATATTTTTTCCCAGCTCTGTGTACCTGGATTAATTTGCAGAAGGTGGTGGATTTATTTTTCTTTTGTACCTTGGAAGGGGATAGTGCACTGGGTAATGGAAAGGTATTTGGGTGAGCACGTGCTTGGAGACCTCACTGGGTACAAGGGTGCAGTCGTTCCCTTTTATCCAAGCTCTTTTATGACAACACTGTAGTTGTCCCCATTCCTGCCTGGCTACCCAGGTTACAACTGAGGAAGGATAATGACTTTTCTTCTCGTCGTTGGTGGCATAGGCTCTTCAGACACAGAGGAGGACAAAGATGATGGCAAAATGCATCTCCTTGAGCAACTATAACCTGAGCAGTACCAACGTGCTGATCATCGGAGCAGGTATCGTGTGGCACGTGCTGGGACACTGTGCGTGTCCTCTCCCAGGCGGGTGTGTGGAGAGCAGGGTGTCTGTGTGCTGTGCGCCTTCTGTCACCCCTCCTGCGTCCCTCCCTGTGCAAAGGGTCAGACCAGAGTGTCTTCCTGGGCCTTTTTGACCTAGACACATGGTCCAAAGGCGCCCTGTGCTCTGGTCTATGGAGCCGTGCAGTTCCCTGTCACAGTCCTCTGCAGTGGGTGCCCTGAACCCTCTTCTCTTTACACCCTCCCTAGACACATCAGTAACCCCTGATTTCCATAACTGATAAACGTAAAGTCCTCAGGTCTTCCTGTGATGTGGATACACCTTTTCCTCTCGGAGCCTGCACTTCTCTGTCTTATCCCATTGCAGCTGCCTACAGCTCCAAAGTTCTCACCTCAGGGTGCTTCTCTGAAGATAATTTCTTCCATCTTCCCAGAAAATGTAAAATTCCTGTATGAAGTAGCAAAACTGCCAAGCTTTTTTTTCTTACCTCTTCTCCCAGCTCCATTTCTATAATGCAAATTTTGTAGAAAGCCTGATGGAGTGAATCCCACCTACCAAATCTGCCTGTTTCTGGAATGGGTTGGATGCTAGACTGGACCATGTCATGGTGAAACCGGGGATGGGAGAACACAAGCTGTCCGGTGTTGGACCTGGGGCTAGGAGGGAATGGCTGCTCCCTTCATGTGGAACGTTCTCATTTGATTACAGCCCCCAGGTAACCAGATACAAGCTGTGGAAACGGGGAGCACACTGCAATCTCCTGCTCCTGCTTTTAAGTTGTGGCTTGTAGCCTGAGCAGAGGGGAGAACCAGCCTGGGTGGCTTTTCCCTTGCTGCTGGGCAACATTTTTCCCTTCCTTGTGCCACTGCTGTTTGTTGACTGAAAGCCGGGGTGTGACACTGCTGCTCCCCGAGGTCAGCTGGGCTGTCCTGGTGTACAGCAGGGCTGGAGAGTCATCAAAATCTTCAGCAAAGTCACTCAACAGGCAATATTAGCCATTGCTGAAGGAGATTTCTCAGGCTTCAACCAGCTGAATTTACAGATCAAGGTCTGTTCTGGTGGACACGAAAGGAGATTTCAAAGCTGGGGGTGTTAGGAATAAGTGTTGGGAAGAGCCCACCGATCCAGCCCTGCATCGAGGACCAAGATCCAGCCATGCCCAGCAGAGCGGAGGCAAGCGACCACTGCCCCTTGCTTTGGCTTGCTCAGGGCTGCCTACTACTGTGCTGCCCTGCTTGGCTCAGAAATGTCTCCCCTATTGTCCCTGTGGAAGTCCTTGTAGATTTGGATGAATTCTTTACTACCAAAAATTAAATTTGCAAGGAGGACTCACATGAGGGTCAACCTGGCATCAGTGCGGCATCAGTCCTGGCTCAGAGGCAGTGTGCACTGAGCAATCCTTGCTCCAGGCAGTGTGCATGGGATGGCCACCTCACTCTCTCTTCTTCCACCATCCCCTGCCTGCATCAACAGGAGCATTTTGTTGATGAACCAAACCATGATACTGTCCAGGTCCATCTTCTTTCATTGGTATTACAGAAACTATGGCCCTTACAACACCCATCACTGAGTGAGACATCCTCAGTTAAGAAGAGACTTCACATCTGAGCTCTCAAGTCTCTCTGGTTTGGCCAGGGAAGAAGGGACGTGCCCATCAGGCTGCCTGGCTGCAGGGGACAGCACACCCCGAGGCAGCTTTTTGTTTTATTTAGCCTTTTTTCTGTGTTTAAAAACAAGCAAGCAAACAAAAGAACCTCAAAGAAATTGCATGGAAAATCCTCTACAGTGAAGCGTGCAACCAGCACTTCAGCCGTGAAGAAGGGAGGACTCCCTCCCCTCTGTGTTTGGCTGTAAATTCACCAGGAGCTGAGTGAGCAGGGGGAAAGATGCAAGACACCTCCCAGACTAGGGGAGTGCAAGGGTCTGAGCGGCCACCCGCACCCCTGGGCTTGTTAGAGGTGTGTAGGCGTTGGCAGGACCCCTCAGGTGTGCTCTCTGTGGGTTTGTGTGGCTTTAGGCATGGACAAGTCCTGCAGAGGATTAATGTCACACTCCACAGAGCATCCCTCCTCGTGCCAGGTGCATCCGCCCTGCCTGGCTTCCCATGCGAGCTGTTTGCCTTGGGAAGGACTGTGAAGGAAGGCCAGGGCTAGTGGAGATGGTGATTTTGGAGTCAGCCCTGGTGGGGTAGGAGCAAAGGGTTCAGACCTTCGCATGCCCCATATGCATGGCTGCCACCCGTCTTCCTTCTCCCTTAGGGGCAGCTGGACTGGTCTGTGCAGAGACCTTGCGCCAGGAGGGTTTCTCGGACAGGATTGTGATGTGCACGATGGACAGACACTTGCCCTATGACAGACCAAAGCTCAGTAAGGTTTGTATCACCTCGGGTACGTCACATTCCTCCTGAGTTTTAGAATTTGGTGTAGGACCTTTCTCCAACATTATTCATCACATCAGTGTGTTTCTTCTTCCTTACTTGTCCTGTCTCTGTTTTCCCTTGAATTTTCTTTTCTGTTGGTGACTGAAATACGAAACACAAAGGAGGAGTTGTACAAACTCTGAACTAAGAGTACTCCAGCACAGAAAAAAGGGCACTCTCCCTAAATGTAGCAATAGCTGTCTTGGCCAGCTTGTGCCTGGATGGATCTTCGTATTATTTTTCAGGATAAAAATCTTTACGGCAATGAAATGGGGCATATGAAAAAATTGTATTGTCTGCCAGGTTTTTTATTAGCGCATGGTTCTTACTGCCCAGTAGTGCTCCATACCATGATTATTACAATTAATGGGCATCATCACAACTTGATAACTTGATCGCAGTGCGAAGATCACTTCTTCTGGCACACATCCCATTTTGCATTCCAATTTGTAGATACAGATGATCTTCTAATCACATTTTTTGTTACTGATACCTGGGCCTCACTTGGTGTCAGAGAGCAACTCAGGTTGGAGAGCAGCATTTGGTCTTGAAGCTTGGAGGTAACATAAGAACAGGCGATATATCTATCACCCTTTATGTCAGGGATGCTTATGTATGGGGGCTGGCACTCTATAATTACAGCATCTAACTCTGCTTCCAGCCCCAAGGCAAAGTGATTTTCAAAGGAAGGCAAATATGCACGTGGCTTTTTGAGAGTATTCAAGCCATTGCTGTGCCTGGAGAAGACCTGCTCGGGGTGAGGAGCAGCTGGCTGAAACCTCTATCCAAGAGGTTGTGCTGGGGAGCTCAGAGTTCACAGTCCCTATCCCAGCCAGGCAGCTCTCCGAAACACTTATGCCCACTGCGTGCGTCTTAGACTGCCTTTTCCACTCTCTGTTAAACAGTAAGAACATCTCACATGCCAGAGATGTTATGCATGGTTTGTTAAACTCTGCACTGAACACCTCTAGCTGTAGTTGCTTTTGGAACATGCAGAAAGCCCATGGAAGAGAACGCAGAATTTTTGGGAGCAGGCTAGAAAAAAAAAGATATTTTTCTTAATCCTATTGTGAGTGGAACTAACCCTGGAAAGAGTCATTAGAGGAGCACGTAAAGCTGTAAGCAGCAGAATTCTTGCCTGGAGCAAGAAGCCTTGCTTCAGCATTGCCCTTCCTCTGCCTTGCTGAACACCTGTTATCAACCTGTCCCAAGGTCCCGCCGGACTGTTCCTCTTTGTCCCCTTTGGACCATGACCGGCTCCCTGGTGTGCTGCAACGTCCCTGTTACCGTTTCTGGAGTACTTGAGCTGCAGCAAAACCCGTGGTGGTTGTGCACTGCATGCAGGCATGGGGCCACGGCTCCCGAGCCATGCGGTCAGATGTTTCTCTCTGTAGATGTTGGGTGTTTACAGAATTTTCAGTAAAACCTGTATGACCCTGCACCTTCTTCAAGTCTTAAGATATGGGTCTCTTCTGAGCACAGCGTTTTCTGAAGTCACGGTAAGGAAGTGTCCTGCAGGGCTCATCCCAGCCCCTGGTCGAGCCACCTCCATGGAGAAGTACCTTGTATGTCCATCCCTGGGGGCAGATGGTGAAGCCCTTGATTCCTGCATGCCCTGTCCCTCTTGGGTCAAGCCCAAATGTCATGCCTGTGTGGCATGGGTAGTTGATGGCACTGCTTAGCGCTGTGCGATATGTTGCAGGGCTTGACCATGGCATGTGTGTGGCCATGCCTGTCCCCTCCACACTGCAGGCAGGGAGGGATGTGCTGGAGCACGGAACAGCACACAGGTCAACTTGACTCAGCTTGTCCTCAGCCTGTGTCTGAGCTGGTGTCCCGAGTTAGGAGGACAGATGAGTTCAGGCTCAAATATGAGCTCAACCCTGTATTTAAAGGTGAGGTAGGTCTCACCCAAGTGACCAAGGAAGGCTGGCAAGAGCAAGGACCTTTATCTTGCAGCTAAAGACTAACGGGTATGTGCCACATGCCCCTGCTTTGGCTTGAGGGAATGGTGCTGCATAATGTGGGTGCTTTTGAAAGGGTTGCCCTTGCTGTGATAATGCTGATGATAGTTCTTACTGCTCTTTTATCTTCCACTTCCCTTGGCAACTGGTTGTTTTCCAAAAAATGGGGCTTTTCTGCTGCTTCTCTGAACTTGTGTGCTATGCAGAGCTGCATTCAGAGCCGCTTCACTGGCTCCAAAGCACTCATTGTGGTCCTGCCTTAGGGGATCAATGCCACCCTCATGCCGAGCAGGCAAAGAACCAGACCCCAGTCCAGCTTCTACTTGAACAGTCTTTGATTCCAGCCCGTACAGAGCAACGCTCTGAAGCCACGCCACAAGGACAGACTTCAGACCGCCGCTGACTTGTGTTGGTAACAGGCATTTCTCCACTCGCCTCTAACCCACAGAGGTAGACAGAAAAATGTCTTTTTTTGCAGTCAATGGATTCCCACCCAGAGCAGATCGCCCTGCGCCCCAAAGAGTTCTTCTGCACCTACGACATTGAAGTCCTGACTGAAATGCAGGTAAGGAGAGTCCTACGTACCTGCAGGCTGTCTTCTGCAAGTGCTGGTACACAAAGGCTGTGTTTAGGAAATGTGGCAGCTGCCTCTGTTCTTGGCTCACTGGATGCTGTGGCAGAAATGTTGGGTCTCCCCTAGCTCCCCCGTTTCATGTCCCAGAGTGCAGGTTGCCTGTGGTGGCTCAAAACCACAATTAATGCAATTCCTCCCATGGCAAGAAGGACACCCTGTGCAAAGTGTGGTGACCATCACTTCTTATCGGCCATTTGCGAGCATCCTCACATGGCTCCGGGGTGACCAACTAGCCTCTTATCAGGAAAACCAGCCTGCAAGCAGCGCAGTCAGTGATGGTTTAAATACCTCTCCCCATTATTTTCTTTATACTGTGAGACCTTCAAGTATTTTTGAAAAGGCCACTAGGAATAATTCAGGCCTGGGTTCGCTAAGCTGTGGACAGGAACCCAGGGGACTAAAACTTAACAGACAAGTTGGCTGGGCTGGGAGCTCAGTGATCGTCTAGGATTTCATCCCTTAACATTATTTAGGAATGATTTCAGGTTGCGGCTGTGGATGTCAAGAACAAGATAGCCGTGTTCAAGGATGGATTTAAGATGGAATACAACAAGCTGCTGATAGCGACTGGAAACACGTAAGCTACGAACAAACATTTGAAAGATCAAGAGAAACTTTTATCTGAGAATGTGTCAAGCTTGTGCCTGGGGATAAGGGGTGAAATATGCCAGTTGAATTTGGACACTGAATTTGTTTGCAAGAGTGTTTGCAGAAAAGGCAAGGAACACCTATTGGATATGTCTGTATGTATCTATATCTCTCTATGTCTATATCAGGTCTAGATCTAGGTATAGATCATATATATTTAAATCGTATACAGTCTCTATACTACTAGATCATCTACTACATACATATCTCTATACTACTAGATCATCTCTCTCCCTATAACACTGTGCTGGGTATATCTGCTCAGCCAAAGCTGAAGAGCCTCTGTGTCACCCAAGAGTCACCCAAAAAGCAGGTAACAACCAAACATAGGTGCTGGTGGGACGGCTGTGGGATTTGCTACCTGGGATGTTTCATGGTCAATGTCAAGGTCAAAAGGGTGTTAACAAAAAGTACCATGTGCCTGTCCTGCTCTGCACAGCTGCTGCTGGGCCACAGAGCATCGCCTAAGGCCAGCATAGAATCATAGAATCATTAAGGTTGGAAAAGACCTCTAAGATCATCAAGTCCAACTGTCAACCCAACACCATCACGCCCACAAAACCATGTCCCCATGTGCATCATCGCTAGCACCCTGAAAGTAGTGGATCGGTTTGTTTTCAATAGGGGATTTGTCAAAATTGGCACTTTAAGATGAAAGTGAGGCATCCTGGCTCCCTTTCCTTGTGCTCCTAACACCAAGGCACAAAACGAAGTAGGAGAAATGCAGCCCCTGCAAGATTTATCGTCGGGGGAAGGGATGCGGCAGAACAGCCAGAGCAGGGATTCCCACTGCAACCCTGTGTGCCACCAAAACCAGCAACAGCCCCACCGAGTGCTAATGGCTGGTGCCGGGGTGCACAGCACCACAGCCAAAATGCATCTGCGCCAGCCACCTAATTAAGTTCAAAAGAGGATTAAGCCTTTGGCAATAATTTCAAAATCCTGACGCACAAGCTCTGGGTACACTGGGTAAATGTTTTTAAGGTACCTAAATTATTAAGGATAGTCTGTCCCATTTCCAGATGGGAGCCAGGTATGCAGGGGCCAGATATTTAAAAATACATAGGCTCCAGTAAGTGTATGGGGAGGACAAGATTAAAACTGCTACGGCGTCAGCAGCGTGCCCCTAGGAACGGATGGTAGAACCTGCATCTGCAGAGGCTTATGAAACTTTCAATATCTGGCTCCAAAGTGTCTGCTGGAGGACAGAGTGAGTTTTCTGTGTCCCATTATGCTTCTGAAAATTTCATCACATGCCAGCAGTTGAGCATGAGCCTGCAAAGCAGTACCCGTCCTGTGCTGTGCTTCATTGCCCCAGAATGGAGCTCACCCCAGCCCCGTGGGTACACTGGTCCAGCGGATGGGGCCGGGGGCGACCACAGGGCAGCCCCTGCGGCACTGGCATTCGTGGCTGTGCTCAGGCCATTGTCCACCAGCATTTGGGGTTTCCATGTTATGCCTCCAGCCCAGAGAAAGGTGAAAAAAGGAAAGGCTGAGATGCTGCCAGAGCCCCAGAAAGTCCCAATTGCCACCACATAGTCAGGAAAAACACCTGTATCACCCTCAATGTGTGTTTTTCAGGCCAAAAGCTCTCAGCTGCAAAGGCAAGGAGGTGGAAAATGTTTTCAACATCCGGACACCCGAAGATGCCAACCGTGTCGTGAAGCTGGCCACGAGCAAGAACGTGGTTATCGTGGGAGCATCCTTCCTAGGTGAGTGCTCACTCTGCAGGTGTCCACATCTCAGCTGTCCACGTCTTCCTGCAGGTGGTCCCAGTCCCTTGCCCAGTTTGTTGCTGCCCAGTTAGAGGTAACCCCCACCAAACTGGACCTCAGGGTAGTCCAACCTCCAGCTCCAGGCAGGTGTAAAGCCATCTCCTTCCTGAGAAAATTATTTTACTGGAGAGGCTGGGCCATTCAGTTTGCACGGACACAGGTATTGCTGTCTCAGCCTGAAAAGCATACACTGAGTCCAGTACTGATGCTTGCACGGTTTCAAACCTGATGTGTCAGTGCAGGTTTGGTTTAGTCATGAGAATCTTGTTGGTAGGTGAAAGCCCGTGTTTTATTTCTCTTTTACTTTTTATCAGGGTTGTGAATTTTTAAAATACACATGAAAAATCTTATAGTTTGTTCGATGGTTCTTCTTTTTGCTTGATATATTTATAACAAAATTATTGTGGGTTCTGCAAGCCTTAAGCATAAATTGTTATTAGTCAGGGAATTTATTATAAAATGTTTCATATTTGTTTTTCCTCTTTTTAAAATAATTTTCCTGTTTTAAAGGTTCAATCATTCCCACCTACAGAAAAGCATGTTGTTTGCAGGGCCAACTGCAAACTGCCAGTCATCAAAAAGATCTGTTTCCAAAAAAACCCATACCTAGAAAATGGCTTGGTGAAGGTTCCTGTGCAATTGTCCCATTCTGATGGGAGAAAACAGCTGAAGTCCCTCGGGCTGTTTTCAGCCTGCAGCTCATTACCTCTGCTGAGATAGTCCCAGCCATGAGAGGAAGGTTTCCTTCATCCGAGGTCCATTGCTCCAAGTGAACTTCCCGGGCTTCCTGGGGCACTTTGGGAGTTCGGCATGGCCAGTTCCTCCCTTTGGTCTTTGAAATCTTCCTGTGGCTTCTGTGTCTAAGAACCAATCATTGTAAATCATAAATTTCACCTGAAATGGCGTGGCTTCTTGTGACTGCCAGGTCTGGTGGCACCCCAGATCTCCCAGTAGGGCAGCTCCAACCTCCCCAGCCAGGAGTGGGCAATGGTGGTCCTCCACTGCAGCCAACACTGAGGGCATCGGCAGCCCTGGGGGCAGTCCCGCAGCTGCTTGGACCTTCTTCTGTTCCCCAGGGATGGAGGTGGCTGCCTACCTCACGGAGAGGGCCCACTCAGTGTCCCTGGTGGAGCTGGAGGAAGTGCCCTTCAAGAAGTTCTTTGGGGAGAGGGTTGGCCGCGCTGTCATGAAGGTGACCTTGCTTTCCTGTTGGGGGGGTGGTGGTTTTGGTTACAGTGGGTTCTGCTTGTTTCACTTATTGCACTTATTGTTATTTGACGTTTATGGAAGGCTGCGTCTTCCCTCTCATGGTCCACATGCTGTAGAGCACCTTCTGGACACGTGGGGGATGGAGGTGGTGCCAACGCCCTTTGCAGCACGGGTTGAGGGGAGCCCAGAGGGTGGGCAGGGCAGTGCAGGGGGTGCAGAGACACCATGAGTAGGGGTTTGGGGTCCTGATGTCCCCTGCTCTGTCCCATGTCACCCCCTCCAGATGTTCGAGAGCAACAGGGTGAAGTTCTACATGCAGACGGAGGTGTCGGAGCTGCGGGAGCAGGAGGGCAAGGTAGACTGCGGGAAGGAGCTCCCCAGGGCACTGCCGCAGCATCCCCCCGTGGCTGCCGTTCCCTTTGCCGCTGGGGTTTTGCCCTCTACTCTTTCCTAGCCCCTAAACCTCATATTCCTAGGTTTAGCCCCCAGGAGCAAACGTGCTCCAGCTGTGGTGTGTGGGGTGGTTTCATTGCTCCCACCCTCCTCCTGCTGCCGTTATAAGGAATTACGGTCAGCTTGCATGTCAAAAAAAGCAGCGAGCTGCCAGCTTGGCTTGTTGCTGCTACAGGGGGTGGTTTTTGGTCCCTAAAATAACCATAATGTCCCCCTCTGTCCCACGCAGCTGAAGGAGGTTGTGCTGAAGAGTGGGAAGGTCCTGCGTGCCGATGTCTGTGTTGTCGGTGTCGGTAAGGGGCCATCGCTGCGGTGGGCTGGTGGTGCTTTGATCAGCAGAGTTGAAGCTGGAGAGGATGTGGCAGCAACAGTTCTAGAGCCTCCACCCCAAAATGCAATTGAAAATATAGTTGGAAAATACTAACAGTTTCATTTTTTCTAGAAAAAACGCCACCATTCAAATCAATATAATCCTCTCAAGTTGTTTTTTTAGAAGCCTCTCCAAACTAAATTTTTTTTCTCTGCTTTTTTTGTTCCTGCTGCTGCTGGAGAAGAGAGTTTTTTCTCCTTTATCCTTGGGGGAAAAAAAGAAAAATCTTTTCTCACCTTGTAACTTTTTGAATGTTGCGGACTAGAAGAATCATGGAATTAAGTTTCATTCTCCTTTTGTTGTGTTATTGACTACTCTGAATTGTGAAGGAAAAAAAAAGGTCAAAAAGGAAAAATGAAGAAAAAGTACAGATTGTGGGGGAGGCAGAGGAGCCCTGTCTTTGGAAGCCTGGGGGCTCCCTTTTATAGATATTATGGAAAAAAGTATATTTAAGAGAGAATTGGATTGAAAATTATCTTCAAGCATTAGGAGAAGGTGGTGGGCACCTTACAGTGGTGCACGGATATCCTGGAGAGCAGTAGGGTCGCCGGGGGTGCGGCGGGTTTGTAGCAGGAGGACTGGGGGCTTTGAGGTGCCCGGCTCCGCTCCCCGCTCCCAGAGCAGCCCACTGCCTTTGCCTTGGGGCAGATGGGTTGTCTGGGCAGGGGGGAGATCTGCTGGCCCTGGGGTCGGCCCCCCGGGGCTGCAGGGATACCAGGCTACCGCGCCAGCAGCCCTTGCCTTCTCCCACAGGTGCAGTCCCAGCAACGGGCTTTCTCAAGCAGAGTGGCATCAACATCGACTCCAAAGGCTTCATCGTGGTCAACAAGGTGAGCCTGGGCGCAGCCCCCGCCGTGGGGGAGAGCAGGAGGAGCCGAGTCTGTCGCTCCGAGCTGAGCTTCCCTGGGGCTCCGAACCGCCGTCGTAGGGACGGTTCACCCGCTGAGATGCTGGGAGCATCGCGCTGGAGCACGTGGGACCCTCTGGAAGCGAGGGTTTTGCAGACCCCAGCCCTGGATGCTGTGGCTTTGCTCTGGCTCTGAGCCGTCCTGGAATGGTGTGGATATTTGGGGGGGAAAGAAATGGAGAAAGAGACACCTTTTCAGGGATCTTAAAGGATCTCATCTTCCCTCCCCACCACCAGTGATGCCAACGGGAGGGGTGCTGGTGCTGATGGGTGGTGTGAGCGTGAGCGAGGAGCATGGTGGGGAGCGGGGGGCTGCCTCTGCCCTGGGTGCTCGTTGCCACTCACCCCTGTGCTTACTGCTTGTGTGCAATAAGCCAGGCGCTGCTTGCAAACACCGGCAGACTCCAATCTTCTAAGAAGGGCTCCAGGACAACAGTCCATGTCCCATTTTACTGGGTAACCCACTGGCAGAGGGTTCCTGCCTGCATGGTTCACTTTGAAAGTGTAGAACGCTAAATCGAATCCCACCCGGGGGTCGCACAGCCAAGCAGAGTTGTCCATGTGCCCCTGGGCACCGTGGCAGCTCTCAGGCAGGTCCCTGTTTGCTGCAGGGTGCAAACCCCACCGACATGCACTTCTGCCTCCCTCCTGCAGATGATGCAAACCAACATCCCCGGAGTCTTCGCAGCCGGTGATGCTGTCACGTTCCCACTGGCCTTGAGGAATAATAAGAAAGTGAATGTCCCTCACTGGCAGATGGCCCATATGCACGGTAGGTGCTTTTCAGTCCCTTCACTTCACTTACACAAAAGAGCCTGTTCCAGATCCCCAGGAAATTTCCAAGCCCTCTAGCAAGAGAATGGGAAAACTGCCAACAGGGTAACCGGGTAGTTGTATTAAACCTTTTGAAGCACGTGTATTTTATCCTGTCTGATATGCCTTCGTTTGTCAGCCTTCTTGGCATGCATTGCCTAACGATGCCTCTGTTGCGGTTTAGCCCCAGCCGGCAACTAAGCCCCAGGCAGCCGCTTGCTCACTCCCCCCAGTGGGACGGGGGAGAGAATCAGAAGGGTAAAAGTGAGGAAACTCACGGGTTGAGATAAAGACAGTTTAATGGGGAAAGCAAAAGCCGCGCACGCAAGCAAAGCAAAACAAGGAATCCATTCACCACTCCCCGTGGACAGGCAGGGGTTCAGCCATCCCCAGGACAGCAGGACTCCGTCACGCGTGACGATGACTTAGGAAGACGGACGCCATCACTCCGAACGTCCCTCCCACCCCTTCCTTCTTCTTCGTCCCAATTTTATATAACAAGCATGACATCATATGGAATATCCCTCTGGCCAGCCTGGGTCAGCTGTCTGGCTGTGTCCCCCCCAGCTCCCCGTGCACCCCCAGCCTGCTCGCTGGCCAACCAGAACGAGAAGCTGGACTGTCCTTGACTACTTAGCAACAACTCAAAACATCAGCACGTTGTCAACATTACTTTAATCCCAAATCCAAAACACAGCCTCACACCAGCTTATGTGAAGAAAATTAACTCTATCCCGGCTGAAACCAAACACAGAGGTGCCCAGGGACAGGCTTTCCCATACACCGTGTGCTCCCTGGCATCTGCAGTCACTGCAAGAGCCTGATCTTCCCTTTGCCCCAGGACACGTAGGAGCTCACATCCTCACGTTAGCTCGGGCTCACATCCCCAGCTGGGCTGCCCAGCGCTGTTGGGCTGGCCAAGCAGTGTGCTGCAGAGCTAAGAGCTTTCTCCCCTTCATGCCAGCAAGCCTGGAAACCCTGGCATGACAGGCTGCCCTCGAGCTTTCCAAGGCCACAACTGGTGGGGAGGTTGACCTCTGAGTGGGTGCCCTGGGTGAGAGGCTTTGGAACCACACCTCCACAGTTTGCCTTTGGACACAGCCCCTTTAATGCTGGTCCAGCCATGCCTCCGTGGCAGGGGCTGCACCGTAACAGTCTCCGTGCCCTCAGGGGCTTTATCCACCCCGTCCCCGTTTGCAGTGGGAGCTCAGCAAGCTCTCGGCCCTGTCACTGTTGCAGAAGCTGGGTGGAAGCAGGCTCACAAGCACGTTGCTCATGCCAGTGCAGGTGACGAGTTGGTAAGGGCTGCGCCACCAGAGAGGAGTTCGAGCCCGCCTTGGACAATGCGATGCGTTTCCTTGTTGGTGCTGTTGCTGTATGGGTTTTGATTAACTTAAGCAGAAGGTCTTGGCTTCCCTGTACTCTGGGACCAGAGATGTCAGTGCCATGCTGCAACCTGAGGGCAGACCACAACACTTGCTCCAGCGCAGAGCTTCCTCACTTATTCTGCTGCATCTGTCTTCCAGGCCGTATAGCCGCGCTGAACATGCTGGCCCATGGCATGGAAATCAGCACAGTCCCGTATTTATGGACTGCTATGTTCGGGAAGAGCATCCGATATGCAGGTATGGGGCTGAAGTTTGTGCTGGTGGAGGTGTCCTGGGATAGAGAAGCCACAGCCACCTCCCTTGCTGTGGACCTTCTGCACCAACTTCTGCCTGGGGTCTGTTTCCCTTTCTGGCTCCGGGGGGTTTTGGTGTCCCCTCTGAAAGCCATCTCATGGTTTCTCACAGTT